CTAATTTATGATATTATAGTATATGAAGTATGTTGAAAAGAATTAAACCGAAGAAATTATCTTTTTTTCATTTTTAGAATGAACATGTCGGAAAAAAGACATTTAAAGAACGTCTTGAATTAATACGTTCGTCGATTATAGATGTCCGAAATCAAGCGATAGTCAAAGGTCTTATTGATAAAAGTTTAGACCCATTTTCAATACGAAATAAAGATTTTTGGGACATATCAACTGTAAGAAAAGTAAGTAATAACAGCTTATAGAAAAAAATCTTCTCTCCTCTTGGGAATAGTGAGAAAATCTTTGAACTCCTTGAAAAATCTATGCTAATGGTGAATAAATAGGCATTCGAAATAGGGACCTGCGGAGTCAACTTTTTTTGACTCCGATCTCGACTCCGACTTCAACTCCGTCGGAGTCATGATCGGGTTTCGAAATCCTCCGCAGTAGCGGCGGCGCCAGGATTCTTGACTGGGGCGAGCTCAGGTCTAATAAATTTCAAATAGGGTGGGCTCAGATAGAATATCATTGATTTTTTTTAAGATCTGAAAAAAATTTCAGGGCGGGCTGAGCCCATCCTTGGCGCCGCCACTACTCCGCAGTTCCCTAATTTGAAACCTCCGTTTTGAAGATAGTTCAAAAACTTCTCTATGGACATCCTTCTTTTTTTTGAAATATATAAATTTTATATTTTTTTATAGATAGTTGGACCTAAATTTCAAAGTCAAATAGCTCATGAAGTTGATGGTCTTATCTTTCAACCTGAACTTGATGTAAGATAAAAATTTGTATATCTATTTTATCTCATTGGTTTTATATCTTTTAGCCATATATACCTGGTCGATCACCTCGTGTACTTAAATGGAAAGAAGATAATACAATTGATTTTCGTTTAAAAATTCTCATGGAACCTAGTAGGATGGGGTATATAAAAGATTTGTTTTATTTTTCATCTACTAATCGATATCATTGTAGACAATTACCAGAGAAAAAAGCTTATTTATTTGTAAATGGTTTAAAAGAGCCATTTTCACAAATGCGTTATACACCGAATTTAGTTCAATATGATAACAAAATTATTGAATGTTCATATCATAATAAGCAATGGCATTTTCATCGAGAACGAACTGATAAATCTTTCCCTAATGCTAAAGGTATATATATATATAATTTATAGAAAAAAACCTTTGTATTCATTTGAATTCTTTTTGTTTTTTAGAAACAGCTTTTGGTAAATTTCAAATTAATTTTTGATGTTTTATATTTTTTATATTCATTTTTTAGGAGCAGCTGAGGCATTACAAAATCCAATCACAAAGGAAAAACTCTGTGAACTTATTGATGAGCATATGAAAACTAATATGTATAGATAATCATTGAAATAGAGAAGAGTTGAATCTCGATGTTATTTTTCTATTCATATTTCTTGTAAACCTCTGTTTTGTCGAATGTATGCAAGTTAATATCGGAAAGGCGATACATATGTAAATATATGTGCTATTGTAGAAACTAAATAAGAAAAAATATAATTTTATTTGATATATTATCATCTCTATTGTAATGTTACTAAAAGGCATTACTATTTATTTGTATTTTTAATATGAACGAAATTTCCTTCTATATATATATGAGTCATTTTATTTTTCGCTTTAAACAAATATGAATGAATGTTATCCAATTTCAATGGGCATACGCATAAAATAAAAGTCCTGTGAAGTGGTGATCCATGTTCAACTAAATTAGGATAAAAGAAGATATTTTTTTATTTTTTTTCAAGTATAAAATATATATTTGTGTAAATAAAAATATTTTTTCTGAAATAACAATATTATAGAACTATAGATTTGGAATTAAATCGATACTAAATCGTTGTATTCGATGATTTGCATTATCAACAACATAAAGATTGTCTTGGGAATCCATTGCTAATCCTCGAGGATTGTAGAGTTGATTTGATTGTCCACCACAACCATTTCCACCAACAATAATATTTCCTTTTGTAGATCCTTCTGGCCAACACATGACTCGATGATTATTTGAATCTGCTACATAGACAGTACCTAATTGATCAACAAGAATTCCAGCAGGTTCTGATAATTGTCCCATACTGTTTCCTTCAGTTTGATTACCAGCAACGATTACACCTTCTTTTGCACCTAATCTCCATTTCATAACACGATGGTTAAAACGATCTGATACATAAACTGATTGTTCATCATCAACGAATATATTGGTAGGCGAATTAAGTTGATTAAGACGATTGCCTTGATTATTTCCACCTGCTATTACTGTTCCTTCTGTATCTCCTATACGCCATCGTCTTACTTCATGTCTATTGTAATCTGAGACATAAAGATATCCTTGATTGTCCATAGCTAAACCCCAACATTCAATATCTGAAATAATTGTTTTTCCTACTGCATTATTACATCGTGGCCATTGCACTATTTGTCGATTTCCTGTATCACAAATAATAAGACTATCATTTTCTTGATCGATAATCACATCTCCTGGACAATTTAAATGATTATTTTGACTATTTTCTAAAGTTCCATTGATAATAAGTTCACCACTCATCGCTCCTCGCATCCATTTCAAAATACGACTATTCCAATAATCAGAAATATATGCAGATCGATCACTATCATCAATACATATACTCAATGGATGATAGAGTTGTGTAAGTCCACTACCAGATCGGTTGCCACCAGCAAATGTCACACCATTTTGTGACCATTTTCTAAACTCCTTTATATATGGTATAGACAATTGTGGTACATATAAACGTGGTGCTAAAAGAAAAAAAAATTTAAATAATGTCATTTGAGTTAGTCTAATCAATTTAATTTACTAGGTGTCTCAAAAGAAATTTTTGTTTCAAGTGGTATAGGATCATGTTGAAGTTTATTGTTCCTTGATTTGAATTGTAATTCTTCTTCAAGTTGTGATAAAGTTGATTTCCATTGATGTAAATCAGTTTCGTAATAATTATTTTCTTGATAACTTTGTCGTATTTCTTCCATTACATTATTTAATCTGACTTTGACTTGACTAATATGATCAGCAGTATGTTTAAATTCTTTTCGAGCTTCTTCTGCTGTTTGTCGAATCTTTTCAATTGATTTAAATTCCCAATCATCAATTTCTTTCATTCTTGAATTATTTTTAAGATCAATGGTTCGTTCAGCAAGAGTCTGTTGAATAAGATCACTTTTATATATGACATTTTCCATTTTTTTGTTGAGTTCTTGACGATGATCCGCTGCATGATTGTAACAAAATGTTTGCAAACAACCTTCACATTTTAATATACCTTTTTCCTTGTCACATGTAGCACAACGCGCTTTTCCAATCACCGTCATTATGTAAATAATATTCCAACACGATTGATATGCGTTTCGTAGTTAAATGAATATGAAGGAAATTGAGTAACTTATATATATATACGGTAACTTACCTGTTGATATTATCACACATTACGAAAGTATGAATCATGACCAATGGATAATTTAAGAAAAGGCGAAAAAGAAAAAGGGTTTTTCATTACATAATGAATATGTAATACATTAATCATTAATTAAATGTACCAACTCAAATTTATTCATTTCAGTGTGTCCTTTTGTATTCATATCAAAAAATAACATCATTTTCTTGACATATATATATGCATGAGTCATAGTAAAAAATATATGATTTTTTTCTAAAGCAAAATGAGGAAATATTTTAATAGAGCATATTTTTTGTTTTTCCATTTAGATGATATCTTTTAATGTTATAGATTATTAATTGATATATTGAATATTTTATTGTGAAATTCGATACATATCTTTATTTAGCTGAACGCATGTCCTATATCGTATTCAATGAAATTTATCTTGCAAAAAGAGGAAATGAATAATAACGAAAATACTTTTTCAATAGTAATAGTATAATCTAGATTTTCCTAATGATTATTCATATTTTCTATGTCATTGAAGCACAATAATATTTCTAGTTCTATTTCAAATCAACTTTTCATATACATATTTAATTATTAATATAATATGTTCATTCAAATTTCCACTCGAGAAACTATTATTCCCTCAAGAAGACAAGTGCCGACTTATTTAAAGTTATGCATTTAAAAATTGCTTGTTAGTCATACAGCTCATTTTTATCCACGATAATAAATATCTAATAATCGATAGGAAACAAAAAGGAATTATCTCAAATAAAAAAAATTCGTTAGTCATATCTCATTCAGTTATTGGTAACATTAAATATGTTGTATTTCATGAAATCAAATGAGTGATTTCAAGGTCATTCCATTGTGTACTGTATATAATTCTTATTACTACGATAGATTGAATAATTTTCAATCAGCATCATTACAAATATTGTTGTTATTGAATTTATTGACAAATATTTGACATTATTTCATGTAAGATATATCGAAACACATACATCAATTTAGTTATTCTTGAAATATAAGAATTGATTCGATGATTAGAAAAAAAATCATGAATACTTTATATTGTGAAGAGTCGGATTTATCATATTTGGAATCATTCAAAAAGCAAGATAGAAATCGATCTATTTTCTCATTCGAAGAATTATATCTTATCAATGTATGTCACGCAACAAATACAAGAAAATATGTTGTGTTATGCATAACATCCTGCATGAATAAAACCTATCAATGAATGCATCAACCACAGCTGTTAAAGTGATCTTCTAATTACTACTTAAGATTTTCCAAACTGATATTTTCAAGATTTAGTTCTATAATTCAATTTCAACATATAATACAATAACAAAAATATTATTTGATTCATTAACATAATAGAATTAAGAGCCACTTAAAAATAATAAGCCCATAAAGGCAATATTAACAAGTAGCGTCCCCTCTCGCTGTATTTACAAGTAAGTCAAGCATCATAAATGAATTTAGCTTCTTAATATGATTAATCTGCCAATCGTTTTAGCAGTTGAGTATAGATGTCAAGATCAGTAGAGGCAAGAGTATATAGAAATATTTGTTATGAATAAAAACCAATAGCGATGTAGATTTTATTAATCAATAAACATAAAAACAATTATTCATCTACTCATCGTATCATATTAATCATAGTTCATCATTCCATCATGGGAGTTACTATGCTCGATAGTATAATGTTGCTCATAGTCTTGATTTTTTTGTCTTATAACGAATAACACAGATATTTCATTTTTTTTTGAATCCCACCTGTCATTATCACCCCTGTGTATTGTTTTTTCTTTAGATAATATTAAAAAATCATTTACATACTAGTTCATATTGAATATTACACAAAAAATGACTGACGAAAGTATGCGCAATGAATTATCAACGATTCAGTTACAGATGAATCAAACAACGAATGAAGTAAGTAATATAAAGATTCATCCTTTCTCTAGGTGATTATATGAAAAATGTAGTTGAAATAAGAACGGTAATGATGATCAACAGAAAAAGAAGAAGAAGAAGAAAGAAAGGAAAAACACCGACCGGAGGCATTCGTATTGTTCTAGTGCAAATAAAAAGGAGAAAGCATAATTTACAATTCTTCTTATTAATTTTTTTTCTTCGGTATATATATATGCATATTTACTCTATTATGTTTATGACGACTATTGTCAATCTGCTTTTATATGCATACACGTACATTTGACGTTCGTTATCAATCTCTCTTTTTTCTTTTGTTTATCTATTGTCACTAGAAAAAGAATTTGATTAAGATAATTATCAACATGAAAATTCTTATATGTATATTTCCTTTGAGAATATAAAGAAAAGCAGTTTTTAGTCAATGAACATTTTTTTCTTATGATGATGATGATGATGTGACAACTGTCATATATCTTACCATATAATAATTGACGAATCAATAAATATGCATCCAAAACAAAAAAAATGTATTCATATTAATTTTCGTTCATATAAAGAAAAAAAAATAGTTTATTTTAAACTACAATACTTGCATTTCTTTTGTTAAAAAGCAACTCGTTATTACTAATAAAACGAATGATGACGATTTCCGGAAATCAACCACTCGTCTTTGTTTCTTTTTCTTTTTATATATGACGTTCAAAGGAAAAAAAACGTAGTTGTACTTTGTAATGTCTCTTTCTTCTTGGTTCCGACATCAATCGACAGCAAGTAAACGTGTGAAGTACTACATTTACTATTCTTTGTTTCCTCTTAAATTTTTTCTTTGTCTTCTTTATCTAAAACAATCATTAAATACCGAAAGTTTGCTGTTTTCTTTTCATCTATTAAATTATAATTTATATTCTTCAAAATGTAAAAATATTCAAAAAAAGAAATAAAAAGTAAAATTGCTTTTCCTACATCCGAAATATGGTATTACCATTAACATCAAATACAAATAATACTACTAATAATACTAATGCTGAACCACCGAGATTACTTACAGAAGAAGAGCAAGTTTTATTGGCAATGGATCAGACTGTTCATGAGGTAAATTAATTAATTAGTTAAATTTGAAATAGATGAATGAACAAATTATTTAAATATATATATATATGATATTTTGAGTATTATGAAGTGTTTTTATATGTATTTAGTCACTTGAATCCACTCGGCGCATGCTTACTTTATGTGAAGATGTAAGTATGAAAATATTCTAACAATATATAGAATACTTGTTTGATATAGAGTAAAGAAGCCGGTATTCGAACATTGGTTATGCTTGATGAACAAGGAGGTAAATAAATAATATTTGAAAAAAAACTTGAAATTTATTAGTATGATTAATATTAAAAAGTTGACAGTGACAACTATTAGTTCAATTAAACTATACAATGTCATTTTTTTTTATCTAAGGTCAAAATTTTAGAGTACAAATAGTTCATACTAACTTCTACGACAGAATTATTCTTTTAGATGTTATAAAACATACTTGACTTTAATTAAAAACTTAATTTCATATAATTGATTGTCTGTTTTCTATCTTCAATTTGAAATATGATAGGATCCTTTGTCTGTAATAAGAAAAATATAATATTTATGTATATATTTTTTTCGCAGGAAAATAAAAATTGATTTTTAAATGTGATTAATATTATTTAGAACAACTTGATGCAATTGATTCTGGTATGGATCGTATAAATGCTGAAATGCGTGACGCAGAAAAGAACCTTGAAGGTCTAGAAAAATGTTGTGGATTATGTGTACTTCCATGGAATAGGTTAAATTAGCTGTTTTTTTTTCATTCGTTATCTATTATTTTTATATATTAGATCAAAAAATGTTGAAAAAAGTGCAGCTTATAGTAAAACATTTAAAAATAACGAAGATGGAAAAGTCAATGCATCTGGTCCACGACAAGTTGTAGCACCAAATGGTGTTGGACCTGGTTCTGGTTATGTTCAAAGGTAATTAAAATAGATAAAATATTGATTGAAATATTTGTTTTTCTTACTTATTAAGAATTACAAATGATGCAAGAGAAGGTGAAATGGAAGATAATCTTCAACAAGTTAGTACAATGATTGGTAATCTAAGAAATATGGCTTGTGATATGGGTAATGAAATTGAAAATCAAAATAATCAAATTGATCGTATTAAGAGCAAAGTAAAAATGATAATATTTTATCTATAATTTTATGGTTCTTCTTCTTCTTTTTCTTTTATTATAGACTGATATTAGTCAAGTGCGTATTGAAGGAGCTAATAAACGAGCAAAAACTTTATTAAAAAGTTAATTAGTTTTCGAGTTGCTGACATAAATTTTTTCAAGTTCTTTCTATTCTTCCTTTATATTTTTGTGAGGAAAAAAGACATTATTTGTCTTTTCCTTTATAATATTTGTTGCTTTGCTTGTTGTTTAGTAAGGTTTTTTCTTCATTATTGTCTTTAGTCTCATTTGCATAACCCTTTTTTTACACGAATGGATTTATTGGAAAAAAAATTTTCTTATCTCGTTTTTTTTGTTTTTGTTAATTATAAGATCTGCTTTATTGATAGAAAGAAAAAGAGTGCATCATATTTTTTTTTTTTCGTTTTTTTCGAATTTGTTTTTATTTTCGGACAAATATGTTTCCGTGTTGTCTGTGTTAGATTCTCTTTTACTGATGCAATATGATCTTCTTTCTTTTTTCTTTTTGTTAATTAATCTGTATAAATTTATTTGGGTATTTTATCATGACAATTAAAGTAAGTTTATAAAGTATTTGATTGAAATTCAATATTTTATATGGAATAGTAAAAACAAAAAAGGTGCGATTTAGTCATTGAAGGAAGTTAAAAATCATGAAACTAATTATGTATATATAAAGTATATTTTAAATTTGTTTTATTGATTAATAAAGTGTCACGCTATAAACATGGAAGAATGTTCACGTTTGAGAAAATAATTTAAACTACTGTTACATTGAAGGTGTACGTGCGAGTGAGATAATGGTGGCTGTAAGTAGGATGAGAGTGACGGGAAGTTGGCTGGGTGTTGGCTTTTGATTACCCACACTCTATTAGACGATTGAACTTGCAAAATACACTTTGCGATTTCATCTCAGAACGTATTTATAGATTCAGTATGCAGAATCGTTAGTTCCACTTCTAGGATTAAGATAAGCGATGCTCATAGAGTCGACGCGTTACTTGTTTAGTAAACAGTGATAATAAAACATTACTATAGTAATTGAAACTTCTATAACATCTCGATTTCTTCAATCAAGAAAAATCAATAATTTACAAGTTACTATATAATAAACTAAAACAAAGGAGCTGGAACGACCAGTGGCGGATCTAGGATTTTGGAAGGGGGGGGGGGGGGGCGATACCTGGGAAGGGGAGGCGATTTTGGTTAAAAGCTATTTTTTTGAGTCCAACAGAAGTAGTATGAACCTATTTTTTCGTTCATTTTTGCTGTAAAAAATCAAAAAAATTTCGGAAGGGGGGAGTGATTGTCCCCTCCCCTAAATCCGTCACTGGGAATGACTATAGAAGTATATTGTCTACGATAGACATATCTTCCTGTAAATCAATCGAATAAACAGTATATTTGAAGAATCAAAGGCATAATTTTTTTCGATACTCTCACAACTTCAAACAACCAACAATGCTTTGTTTTTGAGTAATTACTACATAGAATATTTCAAACATATGGCCCATAAAATTTTATTTGTTTCATATTACCATTCATGAAATCGCTCTTATTGTCTTGAAATGAGTGTATTATATTAAGGTTTCAGAATTACGGGACTTTTATAAAATAAAAAGTTTTACTTGTCTGAAAAAAGTTTCCATAGAGAATTTAAACTGTTTGATTCATCTTATAGAAATAGGTCAAAGACCATGAGTGATTCTTTACCAATCGTTTTAGTGAGAATGAACAAGAAATATTATAAAATAAAATTTCAAATCATATTCTCGATAGAAGTCGTGACAGAGTAAACAGTAGGATTTTTTTTGGTCTAAATTTTGATTGTTTCGACGAGAACGAAAAGAAAGAAAGAAAGAGAAAAAAAAACAAGAAATATCGATACCGATTTGTTTCCATTGAAATAATTTTTCGTTAAATTTCAATCATCATCTAACATAATGCAAAACAAACAGTTTGAATAACTTAGAAAAAAAATATGTGATCGTATATTAATACCTCAAATTTTTACATTCTTGAATTATTCATTTATTTATACGATCAAACAAGTATTATACATAATGCGTTTTTTTAGTAAGTTTAATATCGATTTATTTCGAATTACTGAACATTTTTATAGCGACTCACTAGTACAAATTATTGTATAATGTAATTTTATAACACAAAAGTAAAACAGTATTCTTTGAAATAGTAGATTATTTTGATTTTTATATTTGAATAAACAGGACATTTTTTCAGAGTAAATTTATATTTTTACAACTCTACGTAAACAAACAGTGAATTCTTTGGTGCTCCTATGTACGAATAAAATGTCAGTCACGCAATAAGATACATCAATTGTATGTGATAACATTTGCCACGTATCGATTTCTTTGTAAATAGGTCATAGAATTTCAAATTATTTTTTTCTAAAATTACTTACCAACTGATCACATATGCAAATTAAATATATTCTCTACTTTCATTCTTATAAGAAATTCTATATATAGATATATATGTAAAATAAAAGTCGATTTTTATGTATTTAAGTTAATAAATTAATATCTCTTAACCCATACTGTTTTAATAAGGAGTTTGGTGGAAAAAAACACATTTTTTTCTTTCTTATTTTTATGTACAAGGTCGCGTATAATGTGCGATCTACTCTGTCTTATTGTTTGAATTAATTATTGTATAGCGTGATGCTTCTCGTTACAAGTATCGAGATAAAAGAAATGAATCCATCACAAATAAAGCAGAAAGTTTTTTATTTTCTTTATTACCGTATGATTTGAGTTTCTTTATTACTGTTTCCTAGGTTTGTAATCAATGAGTTTGCACCTCGAACGTCTTGTTGATTGTTGCTGTGGACTTAATGTTAGTTTCTTGAATTGTTTACTTAACAAGTAGAGATTGTACAAGAATTTGACTAAATCCTAAAATGATCACATAGCTTTCGGCATAGTTTTCATTGTCGAAGCTTGAAGATCTAAAGCATATTGTAGCAAAACCGTTATTCAAACGATTAGTATCACTCAGTCAGTTATCACTATTTCCTATATCATCTGCTTGAAATACCATGTAAAATATTACAAAATGTCATTGATCTTGATACATTCAAGAGAAAAACGTACCAAAGGAAAGTCAGTATATTTATTAATAGGGAGATGTACACGAGAATGAAGCTATTAGAACTATTTTCTAAGTAAATTGAATACCACGAATATATTAAGAGTAAGAATAATCTGCTATAGTCATTGATATATTGCTAGATGTTCTTTTTTAAATAGGAATTTAAGCGATAGTTCTAGTAGAATTTTCAAATTTGATGTCTTTTTTCTCATCGTCAATGATGAATTAAATATATAGAAGATATTTTCATAGATTTCTATAATATATTAGCAAATTTGTGTAGATCTTTATCAATCGTCAAGAATAGGTTCCATTTTTACAGACAAATGCTTCCTTCAATATAAAAGTATGTACAGTAAGCAGAAGTAAATCGAGAGAAGGAAAAAACTAAATATATATAAATCGCTTGTTTCGTTTATTTTCATGTATAATTTAGCTGTTCGTCAGAAGGGAAATGATAAGAATGCTCATCTTTTTTTATAGAGCACATTTTTAATAGTCTTAATAAATGCAAGGAATGGCTACTGTTGTTGTTCAAAAGTATTTCTATTCGAGAGATATTATTCGGTTCGTGATTTTTGTATTAAAACTAATAGCATTCTACAAAAACTATTATGGTATATCAAAATATTTATTAAAATTTTATGTTATAGTAAAAACTACAGACGTCATGTTGAATTTCCCTGTACTTATTGAATTCTTCATAGAACTAATATTTCATACAGATACCTCAGAAAAAAAATCGACCAGTATAAACAAGCTGAAAAACAATTTAGATATTAAATAGGACTTCTATCATTCCGGTTATTTTTTTACAAAAACCGTGATTGTTAGTTTATAGATTAACACAGTTGAAATTAGTGTTTGAATCATAACTCCATACTATGTCAGTAAACAAAATTCCGATCACTTTCTTAAAGCTGCATCTACGGTAAAAATTGGATGAAAAATTATCGATGTCGGAGGGGTATTACATATATAGAAACTTATGGCTAGTAGTATAATTATCATCAAATGTAATGAGAGTATTTTGTTGTGTATTAAAAAACGTCCTAAAGCAGAAGAAGATTATTAGTTCGATTATATTCATTTAAATTAACTTATATTATTTACTTTAGATAATAATTGATCCTTTAATATCCTATCTTTCTACAATTCAATATCAAAGCAGAAACTTAATGTTCACATTAATGTTAACGAATAATAGATTAATTATTTTATTAATTATTCATTTAATTGTGGGTATTTTAATTGGACTTTTTATAAGTACTAAAAGATCTGTAAATGAACTAAATTATAGTTCATCGACAATACTGAAAAAAAACTCAACAAAAACTCCACTTAATATGTCACCTCATATTGAAATAATTGATTTTAATAAACCAATTAACGCAAATTTTACATGTATGAATACGAAAACACTTCTACATTTTTTTAATTCTTCTATATGTGTATATGATTCAAAAAGAGATTCATTTTTAAGTGCAGCTTTTCGTGAATCAATTTCGATTTGGGATGAAGAAGGTGTAACTCGTATACTTCGACTTCTTCTTCGTTATCCACATCTTGATTTTATTGATATTGGAGCTAATATTGGTACTTATACAATGTATGCTGCTGCATTAGGTCGATTTGTATTAGCTATTGAATGTTTTGCTCCTAATACTGATCGTATACATCGTGCTGTCCAATTAGCAAATGTTTCTAATCGAGTTGTTCTTGTAAAAAATGCACTTTATACACATTCGGGACAATATTTACGTTTATCAAATCATCCAATTAATGTTGGAGGCCAAGAATTAGATGTTGTAACAAAACCAAAACCTAATCAACAAACAATATCTAATCAAAGTATAGTAAATGATCCATATATAGTAAAAACAATAACATTAAATGAATTAGTACCGATATTACATGCACGTGGTATGCGTGGAGCAATAATAAAAATGGATATAGAAGGAAGTGAAAGTTTTGCTCTTGAAAGTGGAAGTCAAGTATTTGATTTATTTGATATACCATTTATACAAATGGAATGGTTTAAAGTACGCGGTTTTCCTGATCGTGCTAAATTCTTATTAGATTTTTTTACTAAACGTGGTTATGTACCTCAAACATTTCAATGTCAAGTATTAGATATACAACGCACGGACGTATGGCCTAGTGATTTATGTTGGACGAAAAAAGATTTTTCTTTTTGTTAATTTATTTTTATTTTAAAAAGTTTTAATAATCCATGCAACTCATATATATAGTAGCGACAGAAAAAAATTGAAAATAGCACGTTTTCAGTCACGTGTCTAAGAATTCTGTACTACAAAGGCTCAAATCGTATGAACCAAGCACCCTCGATACTACTGACGTTTTGATTAAAATTGAAACAGTGCTCCGTTCAATCTATGATATAACCAATTCAATACTAGCTATGTTAAGGTTTCATTAATAAGCTCTAATGGTGAAACTTCCAAAAATATCAAACATGATATTTTGCGAGTTTTAGAAAATTCTTTTGGATTATTTTTTTTTAGTTAAGTCGTCTTAACGAGCACAAGATTCCAAACAAATTGAGCGATCGTCATATTTTTACAGAACTACAACCGTTATCGAACGGAAAAAAACAGAAGATTTTTATCATAATGCTAACCTTTAAGAAAAGATTATAGAAAAACTGTTGACAATTTAATTTGTTAAAATCTTATACTATTTAAGACAACTTGACTAGAAAACAATTCCGAAAAAGGTTTTTCTAAAATTTGAAAATTATTATGTCTGATTACTTAGGAATTCAGCCGTCAGAGATTATCCATGAAGTTTTGACATTAATAACACTGAACAGATCATGACATAAACTATACAGAGCACTATTTTTATTTAAGTAAAAAGGTCAATAGTGTCGAATTGAAAACTAACGACTTGCCGTTCTCAAGGTTATTATCATCATTGTGCATATGAATTGTCCGAATAATCTATCATGATACTTTACATATTTCAATATATCGAAACATTTCACTAATTAGAATTGAAGCTTTTATTAAAACTGCATATAAACCAGACGATTTGATAAACAAAAAAAAATCTACCGTGTAATTATCCTAGAAAAACACAGACGGAATGTCTGTTGAGTTCATTAAGCATATCTCCACTTTATAAAAAAATGTTTTATATTTTTTAAGAGTGCATATTTAAGTATATATTGATTGATTAATATATGACTAATGAAAATAATACCAATCAATCATTACTTAATTTCAAATGAGATAAATAATGAAAAATTAAGTTTTCTTGCTAAAAAAAAGTTAATAAAATTATTTTATTTTCTATCTTTTTTTTAAATAGCTTGTACGCATTTTAATCTCGTTATATCAATATTGGGTTTTTTGCATAATATGCAATTGATATAACACATATATGTGAAATATGCGATATATGACAACAACAGCTGAATAAATATTATGGAAAATATTTTTCTGTGGTAGTTTTTCTTCAGTATGATCACGTGATATTGCCGTGTTTTGTACCCGTGATTATTTTTTTTCTAATATTCATGTTATATTAGCATTAAATCCATCTAAATCTCACTTTAATGAAGCAATAAACGTGATTAAATATAAATAACCACCAAAATTTTAGTACATTGTTGATATTATTCGATAGAGCACAGTACGCTGATAGTATTTTATTAACACAGTCACTAAATAATCTACTTTTATCTGTAACGAATAATCTTTGTTCTGGTTTTCTGGCATGAATCGTCTGTATTCTCTCACAAATTAGAGAACAGTATACTCTTGACAATAGCTAAAAAGTGCTTCAGAAATGTTGGTTAAGAATATATTATACTGATATAATCAGTTCAATATGATCTGTATGTCTCTGTTGTTTTATTAAGCACAGAACTCGTTAATTAATTTTTTCTCGAACATATTCCAAGATGTAATTTAATATGAAACATTTCTGTCAAGTCCAGAATCTACGTTGTTCTAAAATTAATTAATAAATCTGTTTTTGAAGTAAACACTTTCAAAATAATTATTCCTAAAATTCGAACCCATCATAACAGATTCATTGATATTAGGAAAATAATACGATTTAAATCAATTTGATTAGTATTAACAATAATAAACAGGAAAAGGAGATTTAAGAAAATTCTTTTAATCTAAAAGTTTTATTTTAATTGCTTTAGACTAAAGAGTTTCTTTTTTTTCTCTCTACATGTCATCTCTTCATTTTAGTGTCCAAAACCATTATTAAATATGACATGCAATTCTTATATATATATATATGTCAAAAATTCCTTTCGAATAAGAATAATAAGTACTCTAACAGGACGTTATTTACCTACTTTTTTCTTGATTCTATCGTGCTTTAATGTTTATGACAAAAGCGTACTTTTACTTGATCCTATTAACGTTTAAAATAAAAATAAAATCCCTGTTCATATGATACAGTCTATGAACTAGGTTAATTTGACGTCAAAACTTTAATTATACATTTACAATTTTTATGATATGAAAAAAATAACTTTTTCAACAACTGTTTAGAATAAATTACCAAACATAAAATCGACCAAATATCCATTTGCAACTTATATATATATATAATAAATATTCCATAGTTACAAATAAAATTTCAGTCTTTCGAACTAATATATTAATCTTTATATGTCTAAACTAATAATAAGACTTGATAATTGAGATTACTTGAATTTTTGTAACATATCTTATAAAAATAAAATAACCAATAAATAGTTTGATTGTTTTGTGTTAAGAAAAAATAATTTTTTTTTTATTTTATTTCAATCAGGAACGAACAAAATATTTCAATAGATTTTATTCGTAAGTGTAATGCTGTTTTGTTTCACCAGAATGAAAATCATACTAATACATTAACATACATATAACATCAACATTTTTTTACTAAGATATTTGTAAGATAGATTGCATTAATGGAGCAAGTTCATTACTATCGACATTTTTTTTAGCTGCTGTTTCTTTTGCTTCTCGTGCTAATTCATGAGTTTTCATACAACAAAATATAAGACGAGAAAAAATAGATGCAGTTTGTTCTTCACCAAAACGTACATTTAAATAATTCCATAGGAGATCAATAAAAATATTTTGTGCATCAAATACTTTTTGTGATTCAATTAATATTGGTTCGATAGAATCAGCTCCTTTAGAAAATATTACAATTAATATTAATAATTTCATAACTAAATGATCGTTTGAACATAATTGTTGTACTTCTTCAGTCAAGTTCATTGCTTTGTGATAAACGGAATCAGAGTAACCACGTAATGCACTGACATTATAACAATAATCATTCGGCGTATGTGATTCATGAAAGATTCCTGTATTTACATTCGTACATATATAAAAATGGCAAAATAATATTGTCATTAAATTATGTTTAACAAGTGTAAGTCGATCATCTTCATGTAATGACTAGAAGAATAATTGTATAAAATAAAATTTATTTATTAAACATAATAAAAGACTTACATTAAATTGAGGTGTTAATTTAAAAAATGTTATCATTCGTAAAGTACTAATATGTGCTGGTTCATTTACAATATCAACTAAATCGTGAAGATCTCGTAGGCATGGACTATCCAAACCTTTTATGATTGAAATATTTAATCGAACAGCTTGTGTATAATGTTCTTCAATTTGTTTTAATAAAATACGTGTATTACCATCAAAAGAATATTTATATTCATTTGAATCATCATCGGATGAATCTTGAGATTTTAAAAAAATATATTCGGAATATCCATCATCAGGTGGAATCGATGGTGAATATGTTGATGCTGATAATATAGATAAACTTTGTGACATAGCACGTAAACGTCGATTATCATCAATTTTTCGTTTTTTTGTACGTTTTTCTTCTTCTGACATGATCCATTCTTTGCGTAAACCTTTTTCAAAGCATTTTTTCAAACGACAATATTTACATCTCTAAAACAAATTTTTTTTGAGAATTAATAGAATAAGAATGAAAGATTTTTATTTACGAACTTTTCGTGTTTCTAATGTAATTATACAATCATTTGTACCAACACGACATTTTAATCTATTCTAAAATAATTTTGAAAAAAAAATAAAAGAAATATTAATTAATAGAATTGATTTTATATTTACTGAAGTTTGTAATGCATTACGTCGAAAAAATGCTTTGCAACTTTCACATGTTATTTGATCGAAGTTATAACCTAATTATATATATAGATAAGAATACATAAAATAGAAATGAAAGTTATGTCAGTGACAAACACGTTATTTATTCTTACCCATGGCTGGTGCATGGCATATGACACAAATAAGATCGTGTCGATCACGTTTACGAAAGGCTCCATTGGAATATGAACGTTTTCGATGTTGTTGTTGTCGCATAGCTGTTATGTTTATTGATGGTACTCTATGGTCTGTTTGCATTATAAATATATGTAATTAATTTGTGTGAAAGTTATTTTTTAATATTAACTAAAATTAAACAAAATTGATGGATAATGGAATAGTAATCTAGCGCACACTCAAAATACACTCAGTCAGGCTCGAACTGAGTTTGTGTGCGATTGTCTTGACGAGTAGGAAAAGAAAAAGAGGAAAAGAAAAAAACTAACGACAATAAAATATGCGAGTTCGACGGCTTGATAGAAAAGAAAAAAAAGAAAGAAAAAAAAGAAAAATAGCATGAAGAGGAGGTGACGATCGTCATCATGATTGTGCATATGCGTGCCATTGAAATGCATTTATACATATGTAAAACACCTTGTTTCTTATAAGATGACTTTAACAAAAAAACGATTAGAAAATTAACCAATACACGATCATATGCTGTACATATTAAATACTAAGTAATATAAATGTGTTTTCATTCTGACTGAACAAGGTCAACAGATGTTGTCTATTTATGATATAGAAAACTGTTACTCAAAAACTTTTCTAATATAATATCGAATTCCTTTGATCTATATATCTTATAGTACGACTTATTTAATATGAAAAGATCCTAATCATTTTAATCGTTGATCTTCCGGAAGGGATTAATATTCTTGAGTCTATTTCATTAATATTATCTTACGAAAGCTCAATTTTCATCCTCTATTCTCATCCATCAACAAATATTAAAATAGCTATCTTTTTCGCACATATATATATTTATATATACACATTTAGCTTATATTTGCATGCTAAAAAATATTAGATTCCAATGTATATTCAAAATTTTTACATTGCTGCGTCATTATAAACAATCTGACGAGAAATATTAACGTAGGTTTAAATATAACCACAAGAAAATAATATTTTTAATGGTTTTCTTTCATTCAAAACAAGACAATATTGGTGAAATTAATCGATTTTTATGATTTATGTCTCTTTCAATAGAGCATATGTAAGTTTTTCTAAGGCCTCCTACTCAAAAAGCTAAGCTTTTTTTTTTATTTAATTATTTCTCCATTTCCCAATCTCTTGAACGATAAATGACTGGAGTTAACCTCAAAATAAATGAAATGATAAAGCCAATAATTCAATTGAGTTGAAATTTTATATTTCCTATTGATAGATTGCATATTTCAAGCTGAAAATTTTTGTCATGAATTATTCGAAGTTAAGATACATCTTTGAAGATTCCAGTAAGTTTTACAAAATAAAAAAAAGTATTTATAACTAAATATAGGTCAACTTATCGATTAATGATAATCAATGTTGAAAGCTTGTCAAGCTTTCCTGTTGCTATTATTACATTGTTTTATATAAAAATGTACTGAAATGTTAACTAATCAATATATTGATTTATGTTCCCATAACAAACAAGAAAAAGTTTGTCTAAATAATTTGTACAAATACAATAATAATGATAACAAAAACGAAAAAAAAGAAAATATATTATATAAAAAAATATCTACCGTTTGTGTTCAAGCGTTTAATAAAACGGATTTCATTAACGGGACAAGTTGCTCTGCAACATCATCTTTTTTAACAAAATCATACCGAGTATTATGTGATTGTAAATGTGCATCTATTGATGACATAACAAGTTTTAACCAAATATGAACTGTTTGAGTATAACCAAATTTACTTTCACAATATTTTAATAATAAATTAACAAAAATATTTTGTGTATGAAATAATGATTGGATATTATTTGCTACAGGTTCAAATTCTTCAGTATATGTACATACGGATGAACCTTTGGATAATATCATAATTAATAAAAATATTTGTACTACAAAAGGATCATTTTGTGAAGCATCCATTACGCGACATACACAACGTGTTGATTTTTCGTATTGATCTAGACTAAAACATTGGATTAAATCTTTACCAGAGAATACACAATCGTCTGTGCCTTGATCATAATAACTATCTGTAGAACGATTATATACCAATGCTGAACGTATAAATAATAATGGAAATGTATTATGTTTAATTAAAACTAGTTTATCATGTTCATCCAATGATGAAAATTCAGGGATAAGTTTTAAAAATGTAATAAGACGTGATGCTTGAAGATTTGAAGGAAGGTTGATCATTTCAAACGGAAAATTTAGTTTTGTTGTGTTAGGATACGAAGGAATTTCACGTGGTAATGATGTAAGACGAACTGAATCTGCATATGCGTGTTTAATTTGTTCAATTTTAAATAAATCTTCTGAAGATAATATAGAAGTTGAAACAGTAGAATATTCTTTATTATCACTTTCCATTAGTTCACTTTTTAAATCAACATATGGTGACTAGAAATAAAAATAGAATAATAATACATAAATTATTATATATTGATATATATTACTTTCGAGACGTCATCTGAATCTGCTGAATCAGGATATACTAATTTACGAAGACGACGGTTTTCTTCAATTTTTCGTCTTTTATTCATACGTTCTTCATCTGTTAATATCCAATCTGCTCTCATACCTAAATTTAATTATTGTTTTATATTTTTAGTCATAGAAGAATAATAATTAAAACCTTGTTCAAAACATTTGGCTAATCGACAAGCTTTACATCGTTTTCTTGTTGTCATATTTATAATACAATTACCATCATTTATTCGACATTTAACTTTTTCCTACAAAAAATAAAAATTAATCATAATAATAATTATAAAAAATTATTAATTATAAATACGTCAAATTTTAAAGCATTTCGTCGAAAAAATGCTTTACAAGATTCACAAGTAACAGCATCAAAATTATAACCATGTGCAGGTCCATCGCATATCGTACATATCAATCCTCCCGGTTTTTTTCGGAAAAAAGACGCACGATGTTGTTGTTCTTGCAGCTCTTGTTGTTGTTGTTGTTGTTGTTTATCAAAGATAGTTAATGATTCATCTTGTATATGTTGTTTATCATCGGTGAGATTATAATGCCGACGTACGACTCGTTTTCGATGATGAACATTATTTTGACTCATAATTAATTATGAGAGTTCGATAATCAATTGCATAAAAAGATTTGTTTTTCTAACTTAAAATACATAATGATGAGAAGAAAAAAAATGAGGAGAAAAAAGAAGCAGAAAGGAAAAAAATGTAACTTTAGGTAATAAAGAATCAAACAAGGCAAAAATATAGAACAGAAAAAGAAAAAAAAAAGAAAAAGAAGAACGAAAAACCGGTGATGATATAATAATATACTTTTTATAGCTGCTCTACTAGGAATAACATCAATTACACACTATCACATTCATATTTATCGAGCAGAAAAAGCGAAAAGGAACTCTATTTTTGGAACTTTATAATAACAATACAAAACAAAAATATAGTAACACTTGAATGAAAATTTCTTGCCCTTTTCTTTTTTTTATGATCCCTAACAACAAGATGACTGATATATCTACTGTTAACAACACGGAGAAAAGAAGTAGAACAGAACGCAAGTGATGTTGTTGACGTCCACTTTTCAGGCTTCGCGTGGGATGACGAATAATGATTACAAGAAAAGAAAAGAAAAGAAATATAAAAAAACAACAAGCCTCTACTATTTTGTGTTGGAAAAGAAAAAGAGAGTTCGCTATAGTCAACCCATAACTGCGTATATACATACAATTCTCAAAAAATCTATTTCACATCAAATATAATTATAATTTATTATTAAGTTTAAATTAAATAATCTCTGTAATCAACTAATATTATTTATCTATTGATAACAATAATTATAATGATGAGATTTTTTTAATATCAAATAGAAAAAGGAAAATAAATTAATTTACAAATTTGTATAGAGAATAATTTCGAAGACTTTTGCTTTTCTGTGTTAATACGGATAATCAAACAGAAAGAACATCCGTTTAGCCTAAATATAAAACACTTCGGGTCGAAAGGACACCTAGATGTCGTGTCGCGAAGACTTTCAAGGAGAAATTCTAGTTATTACGGTCGTAAGAAACAAAAAATAAAGAATTTTTGTTATCAAAAAAATGTGTTATAAAATTTATTATACTCAAAATATTTTTCATTATGAAAAGTGCGACATATGATGCTTTTCAGATGGGAACATCTTGTGTTATATGCGTATTATTTTCAATCTATAACGTCATCAAAATCGATTGAAATTATTAAATTATTCTTGTTCTTTTTTTCATCATCAAGATAATGATTCATATTATTTTGTCCTCGAATATCGTAATCGTAATTTTAAAAAAAGTCTCTTTTTAAAAGAACACGCTTCGTGTATATACTTTTATTTTAATTCGAAACATAATTTTAACTATTAGGTAAAGTCATATCTGGTAATTGTAAAACACTCTGCATCAATGGAGATAATTGTGAAGCATCAGTAGTTGAATGCACAATATCTTTTAAATGTATAGCTAAACGTTGTATAGCAAATAATTGATTAATAAGTTTTGTAAATAAACCAGTTGTTTTTTTTAATCCATATTGATGTAAACAATATTTATATAATACTTCGATATACATATTGTGTATATTCAATACAGTAGATACATTATTTAATGATGGTTCGTTGACAATATCATAACCACAAAAACCTTTCGTATATAAAATAATTATTAAAAGTAGTTTAACAATAACACGATCATATTCCAGTATTTGAATTAATTTCTGAGCTGTAAGTGTTAAATCTTGATAGAATTCTTCGCCTAATATTTCAATCCAATCTTTGCCTTCGAATACTGGATCTTGTGTATTATGCTCATGATATGTATCAGCAATTGGATCATAAATTAAGACAATATGGATAAATACAAGTGCTAATAAATTATGTTTAACAAGTGTTACACGATCGTCAGAATCTACTGTAGCAAATTCAGGAGTCATTTTTAAGTATGTTATAAGACGTAATGATGATAGATAAGTTGGAATTCGTATTAATTCAAGTGTTGTATGAATTGGATGTGTTGCTGGATAAGGAGGTACACCAACAACTTGATTATATGCTATTGCTTCAGTATATGCTGATTGAATTTTATGAATTTTAGACCATTCAAAATCAGTCATTATACAAATGGGATCGTCGATTACTATACGAGGAGGTGATCCATCACCAGAACTACTACGATCTGTTTTAGACTAAAAATACAAATGGATTTATTATTTAATATATAGAAATAAATCTTACACTGGTTGCAATACGACGACGGCGACGAGGAGGTTCTGTAGTAGGTTCTTGAGTTTGTTTACGACGACGATTTTCTTCAGCTTTACGTCTTTTCTTCCGTTTTCTAAAAAAATTATCAATAAATCAATACTAACGTCATTACGAGATATTAAAGATCAAATAAATGAATGTATCGTATTGAACAAACTGCTAAACTGTATTCTATAGTAAGAGAAGCTTTGTCAAAATATTTCGGCATAATCAATATATCCGAAGATCAGTATCTCAGATAGATTTGATGATAGTATCCAAGAAATTTATTAGAGATTGCAGTACACTTTTTTTCAATACTTAATAAAATTAATACTAGTACAACTGATGATTTTTCTCGTTATCAGCTATCTCTTAAATTTTTACGATCTTAGTCTTATCGAAAATGGTTTCGAAATTTTTTCAAATACTCTTATTAAACAAGTATGTATTATGGTCGTATTATTTTCTATATGGTTATATAAGCGTACAATCATGATACTTAGCTGTATGGCACTAAGTATAGGACTTTTTAAAAGTATATAGACTCTACATACTTTGTTCTAAGTAACTGTTGAGCACAGTTTTTGGAGTTAATACGAAAATCGAACAATTTCGTAATATGGACAAGATTTTTAAAGAACCGTTCTTGACATATTGAAGCAGTTAAATAGTGGATAGAATAGAATCGGATTATAAAAAGAACTATTGCTAATAGGCAACTATAATAAACGGATATCTATCATCTTTTGAATCTTATTTCTGACTTACGCAAATAATTCCTGAAGATTGAAACCCAAAACTAATACTTATAACACGTATTTATCTGGCTGAACAAGAAAGAAAGGAATTTTCACGAATTATTCACATATACTAGTTCACTTTTCTATATATATCGTCTATTCTCTAAGTTATCGATAATTTTAGTAACATAATAGAAGAAACTAAAGAGATCTTTCTATTTTTCTTGAAATTTAGTGGATATAATCAAAGCAACATACTCTTCGTCTGAAAGAATCCATTCTTTTCGCATTCCTAAAATGATAAATATGATAATAATAAAGAAAAACAAAATATAATTCATCATACCCATTTTGAAACATTTATCTAGTCGACATCTTTTGCATCGTTTTCTAGTTTCGACAGTTACGTTACAATTACCATTACCACGACATTTGAGTTTGTCCTATAAAAAGACTTTTCAACTTTCATATGAATACACTATACTATCTAAATGATAATATTTTTCCAATGAATATTTCAATACAACCGAGTGTTTGCTACTACTACTGATGACAGGATTACTGAGTTTGATCACGTAGAAATGGCAAAATCACTCACTATACTATTTTATCACATTGACAACGAAAAACCTCATCCACACTCAGAAAATAATGAGATACTGACATAACGAAGTAATATAAAGATAATCCTCCTATATATGTGTACCTGTCATGTACCTTTTTTAAATGCTAAGGTGTTAAGTGTCTACACTGAAATACAAGTATTAACTTTACAGTATTTGGAATATTATTATTTCTATATCCAAATTTTTGGCTAGACATTAGTTATCTATCAATAGTAATTTGTTATTTTTTAGTTACATTCAAATAATCAAACATGTAATGACAAATGCCTTTACATACTTTTGGACATCCTAATAAAAGGACAAACAAGTTTCATGTATATCTTTTTAGGTAAAGTTTATAACAATCATGAAAGAAAACTAGGTGGGTTACGGAAAATTATAAAATAAGGAAAACGACAGTAAGCTAAGAAATACATTGGTGGAATGTATTTAATACTAATTAATATGAGAGACATGAATATTGTTGATTCTAGATCAAGTCAAATAGCGAAGCTCGGTGAAGACGAACTAAATTTCTGATAAAAGAATAAAAGAGATTTATAAAAAGAAAGGGAACTGTTTTGATAAGCCAATAGGTGAAAATTATCATTATAAACTATTGATTATTATTGCAAGTCATCCAAAAATAATATTGATAAACAATATAATTCAAGATAAATATTACCTTCTATTAGATTCTATACTCTGCATTCATATACAGATTTTCTTTCGTAAGAATTACTAAGGAAAATTCTACTAATAGTAACTACAAATAAACTTTCGACCTTCATATCTTTCAACCTAAGCAATGATATGAAGAAATTCTCCTAGGATCTCGATCACTTTCATGAACATAAAGCTAAAATATCTATTTGGGTATTTGCACACTACATTCCTTATTTTAATAATAGAAATATAAAATAATTATGTTCCTTATAGTCTGAATTCTAACTATAGAAATCCTATTAAAGAAATTTACCGGTGGTCGTAATGCATTTCGACGAAAAAATGCTTTGCATGATTCGCATGAAATAGCATCAAAATTGTATCCTAAAATAAATCAATTGATTTTTATAAAATAAAAATCGACTTCTTTCATACCATATGCATCATCACCGCAAACAATACATTTGAGATAAGGTTTTGGACGTGTACTAGATGTGTCACTTCTATTAGTTAAATCAAGGCTGCATGCCTCATCTAAAGTTACTTCAGTCTCAATTAATTTAATATTCTGTTCTACTTCGTCCGCCATTTCAAAACATTTATTTCTGTTTCACCTATGCTTAATAATACTTGTTCTAGAAAAATAAATAATAACAATGAATAAGTAAAAATAGAATTATATCCTATTTGAAAAAAGAAATGAATAGGTTCTTTTATCTAAACAAAACGATGTTATATGTACTGTATGTAACGCAGTATTTACCTCTAGCACGAGAGAAAAAAAACATTTCGCATATATAGTCTCGCAA